CCTTATTCTCAGAAGACAATTGTCGCATGAGTAATTCTTTTCGACATCTGCAAGCTTCGTCTCCTTATCGGTTCGAAAATATTTTATTACGATATAACGAAAAGATGATCGTAAAAGCAAGATCTATCAGATAGACGCCCTTACGAGGTAACCTCTTCCGTGAGAATATTCCGGCTAAGAATGGGGAAGTAGTTAAAGGGGCGTTTCATAAAAGAACGGATGGCCCTCTTTTTCTTTATACACAAAGCCTAACGTTTTACATCGTGGAAGAATACGCGGTGTGTATAGTCAGCAACTTCGCGACAAGGTCCTACGTAAAAGTTTTTATATTGTACAAGACTGTCATATTATCGGCCGTTAATGCCACGTGCTGTAAGTTATAGCAATAAGAGTGCCCTACGGTCGAGTAGTCCGCGTTTATGGCTCCTTATGAAAGTGTTCTATTAAAAGGACGGACGTTGTTCTTAATACGCGAAACGAACAGTGGAATAACGGAGATCGTAAACGATGCACCATAAAGTGACATAATGCAGAATCCCAGCCGCGTTTCATAATGAACGAAAATTACTTTGAGATATAAACATGAATTGTGCGCAGCTGAAAAACGATTTATTCATTAAGCAATTACGAAATTCTCAAAATTTTCATCATAAATATTTCCATTACTGATGTAAATGTATGAACATGGAATTTTGCTCCTCTGCACTTTGCCAGAGTAATTTTGTAATTTTTGTCATCAATGGGAGAACGGAAATTCCTTTGAACCGATTATACTGCCATTCGCAAAATATAACACGAAGTTACTGTAAACTATAGCATTCTGTAGATATTCAATTTTCTGTTGGATGATCAATCTTCGAAGTTACCAACTGATGAACACAAATTCGAGCAGGACTAGGATTACTCATTTAGCAATCCGCCTAACCCCACGCTAAGACTCTGGTCAACCTTTCCCTATTAAACAAATTGTAGCCTTAATCCTGCATAAGCACCAGAAACCATTTTCTCGTTCGAACTCTTACTTCAATCAACCCGGAGTCAATTTACTCTTCGAATCCTCCAAAGTACACCACGCGCGGACCTGATGTATTCCTCTAACCTTGCTCTAAATTACTAAAAAACCCGAAGGAAGCTGCATGAATATTTTCTCGATTTTCCATCCGAGTTTACTAACTTTGAAAAAGGTCTACGAATTTCTGAAGTCAACCAGGACAGAATTCCGACCGGTAGGTATACACCGCAACAATGACCAAACTTCGAGCGAGGGAGTTTCGAGTCTGGCCGAAATTTCAGCGACGGGTGTACGTTTCTATAGGGGGTGAGTAGGGTTCGTTAATTCGACGCCGAGTTTTCCGATTCACTTACGGTTTGACAAGTTCGCCACGTTCCGGGCGCGCTTGCACGCGAGCGAAGAAGGAGTAGTCTGAAGGGTCGGTGAAACAAAACATCGTAAAGCACCCTCGTCTGTAGAGGATGCGACCTGTTAGCCCGGCATTCAGGCAAGTGAGAAAAGTGGCTGTTAGAGGTGGCCGGCGATGCATAAGGACGCCTTTCCAGAGGACGGCTTATCCCCGCCATTGAAATTTATTTAAGCTAACGCTTGGCACTGTGAGGCGGTACACAATTGCCGCTGTACAATGTACGGGACATCTCTTTGAGTAATTTCCAACTAATTCTTTTTTGCGCAAATATCGGAACTCGGTTTTGTGGGTATTGTGACGCTTATCACTGACACCTTGTTATTGACACCAAGCACTTGAGTATGGCAAGCGACACAACAATCTCCATCAGTAGTATGAGGTTGTTCAAGCGTTTTATTGTATATATTGGCGTCAAACAAAGGAATAAAGTTGCGGTTATTATATTATAATATGTATTCCAGAAATGCACACCCGTATACTTCATGTCACTTTGGCATTGATTGTAGCAAATTAACGTAATATAGAAAACTGGTCAGTTAAGAATCCACGCTGGTTCATAGGATTGAACATCGACTGCCGGTGGTGTATAACCGTGCAGTATAGTACAACAAAATATTTCATAAACGAAGCAATTGTTATCATCAGATATGAAAATACTATAGGAAATTGTGTAGACACAAGGTCTGAAGCTATACAAGAGAATATTCGTCGAGTAATGCGATACCAATGTAGAGGATCATCGCTACATTTTGTGCCACGTTACCTAGATTGGCAAGCCAGATTGTGATAAACTATTTTTGAGTGGAGCCCTACGTCCTAGTCCCTAGGTTCTAGTTTCGAACTAGATATCTGGAGTCCTGGGACAAAACTGTATCCCAGCTGGCTATCTCGTGACGCAGTCGCCTAGCAAAGGATTACACTTACAAAGCGAAGGATCCTTTCTAATCCTAGACCTTTGGTGTAATGTCTGCTATCCCTAATAATAATGACACCTGTAAACAGGAGGAGACCTGATCCTGAACCGTTGTTGTGATACCTACTATCCCTAATGATAATATCCATCCCTTCTACGAAACATTGGAGTCTTCCTCATCCTGGACCCGAACCTTCTTTACTAATTATGGTGACACCTACTATTCTTGAATTCCAAATAGCTCCTACAAAACGTTGGAATTCCTTTGATCATGGACCTGAATCTTTTCTTACGATAGTGATACCTACCATTCTCGAATTCTAATCCTTTTCTTCAAATAATCTTCTGCATGCAATTGACAAAAATTCATGTTCCACTGACTTCCAATTTGGCAAGTGTTACACCTAATGTATGACTAGAAAATTCTGTGCCCAATTTGCTCACCTTAATTAAACACCTGTGAAAGAAAATAACAATGACCGTGGGGTTTACTTAAACCCCTTCCTCACCCTAGACCTTCTACAGATAGAGAAGCTTCTCCATGTCATTGAGAGAGACGAAGAAATTCTGCTCAGAGCTAGCCAGTGTTATCGTGCCACCCCGTACACGATATTTCGTTGCCGAACGTCCATGCACGCGAAACGAACGGCAGAGTGGTGTACGAGTATCGCGTTCGCGTTTTTTTGATAAACTTTCGACTAACGGGAATTTTTAGTTGCTCTTAATTTCGAGGCCGGCTCGTTCTCGCACCGCTGCCTCTCGTTCGCCCATCCTACCGGCACCGCTGAAATCGACGTGGTTCAAGTGGTTTTCAACGTACCCCGGAACTTGAATATTTATTTGCTCTTCCATAGAGATGTTGACCCGGAGCGTTTGAAATTGAAACGAACGTGGCAGGCGATAGTTTCTGGGCCGTGTAAAAATCCGCGGTGTAACCGGCGGATACCGTTGTGCAACACGGAATTTTTCCCGCGCCTCTTCGACTCGGTATTAGCCTGTCCATTGTTACGAAAGTGGTAATTACCGTGAGCTTGTGCAGCTAGTAGCGAGTGAAATTAAGTAACGAATAACAGCAACGACGTAGAATGATAGTTATCTATGATCTGTGGCTGAGAATCAAATGTAAATAGAAAATTTGGGACTCTAAGTTAAGAAACCTAATCTTGGCATACATCCCTTCCCCTCTAATAAGATGGAGGAAGAGAAGATCAAGATGAAATTGTTGTAAAGATAGATCAGTGATGAGCAATGTGTTCAAATTGAAATTCACTATGGTACATATCTTATATACCGGGTGTCTTATATGTTTCTGTATGACCACACTTCGAAATATTCAGAAGGAATCAATACAGAACGTAATTTTACCAATATAATGTTAGTTGAGAGTCTATTGAGTTCTGAAATCTATTTTCTATGTCTTTATGTGGCATGTAGATTTAAGAATGAAAGTAATAAGAATTCCATCAACAGTGAATTTGTTCAGTCACTTATATTGAAGATCATGGATCAACGTTTTACTGAAAATTGAATTTGATTCGTAATTCGCTTATAGCGTATTTGAGATTACTTTTCGATCATCCTTTTAATACCATCGGTTACGCGAAACCTAACCTAAACGTTCAAAGCAATTCAAATCGCCTTTTTCAATCACCCTTTTAAGGTACTTATATTGCTTTACGGTTTCTTGTTCTTTAGTAAAAAGGGTCCAATTCCTCTCCCTGTCCAGAATATTTAATTACTCGGGTTATCTCATCTGTACGGAGAATAGGGTCTCCCACGATCGATAGCAGGTTGAATGTGTACGGGATCGGATAATTGAGTGGTAGATACCTCTCGAAATTCCCATGGAGACGTCCTCGCAGCGAGTAGCTCTCCCTTGATTACGGAGACAGCTGATTGATGCTTCGGGGTACGATCCAGCTGGCTCGATCGACCGCCTTAAGATCACTCGATGCTCTTTGGCCTATGAAATTTGAGATTCGAATCGCCTCCGTTAATACGATAGACGTTACTCTCTCTTTCGTTTAACCCAATCATGAACATATATAATTTATGGATAACCTAATAATCCACCAGGTTCCACCGTGTTTGCGTAACCAGCGCCATTGCGAGTCCTACGCGTACTAAAAACACCCCAGGTTCGACTATAATGGAATAAACAGCGCCATGGCGTATCCTACGTGTACTAAAGGTGCTCATAGTTCTATTTTACTTGAATAAGCGGCGCCATGGCGGATGTTACGCGTACTAAAATTTTCCAAGATTTGACTATACTCTAATAGGAATCAATAGAGGATTCCACTATTATTCGATTATGTATGGATCTACAGCGCCATTGCGTGTCTCACGCATACTGAGAAGCCCGATGTTCTATCGACTTGAATAAGCAGCGCCATGGCGGATCCTACGCGTACTAAAAATCTGCAAGATTTAACTATACTTTAATAAGCAGCAATGGCGGTTCCTACGCATATTAAACGTCCCCATGGTTCGACTATGCATGGATTTACAGCGCCATTTCGTGTCCTACGCGTACTAAAACCCTCCGATATCCTAGCGATTTAAATAAGCAGCGCCATTACGGGTCCTACGCGTACTACGCGTATTAATTGTTAAGGAGTTTGCAAAATAATTTCATTCACACGAATCAACCTATATGTTTCCAGATGCTGCAGTGATGGAGGGCGAGGGCACGCTGGGTCGTGGTCACGGAAATGGGGGCCGTGGGCTGCGCCGTCAACGGTCCCTGGAATGGCGAGAGAGGCGCGGTTACGGGCCTAGTGCCCAGTCGAGCAGCGACGACGAAGAAAACTCGCGTCACGCCGTCGGTGCCACGTCCGTCTCATCCGCCGGTAGAGGCGCTCGCAGTCCGGGCCAGGTTCTCGCCTCCCTCTTGGCGCAGCAGTATGGAAGTGAGTGATGATATAATTGATGTTTAATGCCTTGATCGAGAGTCTTGCGCTGCCCTTACGCGGAAAAGTTTCGCAGACGTAGGTGGTCGGCACCGTGGAGCTCGTGTTTGGGGAAGAAACGGTGTTTGATGGGAGTTCCTGAGGAACGTATTGGGAGGGAATTGGTAATTTATCGAAGGGCCTCGGGACTACGGATTTCCAGGGTGGCAACAGGGAAAAGTATTACGTCGCCGTGATTGATTTTATCCGTCATAGAATATCAGCCTTTTTTGTCGGTGTGGTCTCTCAAATCTTTGTATCTCTTCCTGATTGATTGTTTATTGAAATTATACGTCATAAAGGAGGAATGATTGATACGCATATAAGCGTTGTTCTTTAATCATAATAATTTAGCTGTACATCACGAAATTATATTTTTTATCCATTAATATTGAAACACGTATAATTGACAGAGTAAAAGAAACGAACATATTAGCTTTTCCGATTGAGCTGAAGTTTATTACCGAAGCGCAAAGGTAGACAAATTTCGCATTTAGTAATTATCTTGTATAGCTGTTATATCACATATATATTTTATGGTCAGAAATAAAAGATTTACCGCATATCAGAATATACGTACATTCAGATCGTCATAAGTTAACGATGCTTTTGCGGTTTAAAAATATGCATCGTAATAAAATGAAGGAAACAAAATAAATTAGACCCCACGTTTCGATATAAGGTCGAACATCGCAACGATGATAAACACTAAAAAAAGGTCTAGCAACGCTGGCTACAACCGTCATCTTCATTAAGCGGAAGCACCGTTCGCGACTCATCGAACCGACCCGCCTCCAACATATATATTTTATGGTCAGAAATAAAAGATTTACCGCATATCAGAATATACGTACATTCAGATCGTCATAAGTTAACGATGCTTTTGCGGTTTAAAAATATGCATCGTAATAAAATGAAGGAAACAAAATAAATTAGACCCCACGTTTCGATATAAGGTCGAACATCGCAACGATGATAAACGGTAAAAAAAAGGTCTAGCAACGCTAGCTACAACCGTCATCTTCATTAAGCGGAAGCACCGTTCGCGACTCATCGAACCGACCCGCCTCCTAGACAAAAGAAATTAGTGTAACGATTCGACTTCTAAGGCGCAGCTCTGATTGGATGACCCTTCGTTCGGCCAGTCTTCCGGCTGGATTCAAACGAACTTTAACGAGCGACTTAATGAGCAACCTATGAACTTTCAATTGCAACAATTAAATCGAAGGAAGGAAATAGCCGCGCGAACAGGTGCGATCATCGAGTAATGGCCTGTCGGTGGAAGAGAGCTTCGTTCTGGATGCGGCTTAACGATACACGCCGGTTGACTGACGGCAACTTTTTTTGTTTCTTTCGACTCGATCTACCGCTGCCAATAATAAAGTTCAGGGTGGCTCGTTCATCATATTCCATCAAACGGGCACGGACCACGTTCTCGACCATTCAGTTCAGTCTGCCTCGCTCTCTGCGTCCCCCTTCCCGCTTCCATAATCTTCCTTCGACTCCCCGGCAAACGCGTAGATTAAAGGATTTACGAAATTAGTTTTACTTCCTCGCGTCGTCTACGAGCGCGGCCGGATATTAAGTTCGGAGGCGAAATCCAGATTGCCGAGCGTGCATCGCTCGCAGCGCCGTGCCGCAGACCATGTTCGAGTAAACAAAGCCTTAAAAATATTTTGAGACACAGCGTAGAGAAGCTTAATCGCGTTCCGCGACGCAACTTCGGAATTAGGCAGACTTTGCCATCGACGGTATCGATTTTCATTGAACGTTGGGAACGAAGTTGAAAAATTTCGGTTTCGACGGCACTATCGTGCACACGTGGACGATCGTGTCCGTTTGGCATTCGTTTGCGTGGCGCGTACCGATTACGCGGCTCATTCATGGTACACCGTATAAATATCCAGCGCAGCATAACTGCATTACCATTGACGGCTTATTTGGATTACTACTTAAGCAAATAATAGTTTAATATCGCGCGTTCCGGTTGCACGGCCATCATTTGACCTCGGGTATGGCTGGTTATCCCGATTAAATCTACAAATTCGCATCCTATGACCCAACGTGGTATAATCTTTATCCCACACACTGCAAACGTGTCGTGTAATCCTCGCGTTTCGTCAAATCTTAAACTTCTCGGAACTCTTATTTCGTACGCTAAATGGCGCATTACGAAGTGATTATTCTTCTTTTAATATTCGCTACACTTTGACTGCGTTTCATAGATTTTGAAATACTTTGTGCACACGTAACTCTTATTTTGTCAAGTCTTTGAAAGCTTGGAAAGCTTCGAAAATTCTACGCCGTTGATTTTTATTACCATAAAGCCATCTTCATCGCCGAGTAGCACTCCCGTGACGCGTAATCAACGATCGCATTACAGCGTACTGTTAAGCCACTTACATGGCCAAGAAGGACGTGAAACGCGAGAAGGGCGCTGCGATGGCTGGATCCTGGTCACTTCCGACGATCCTCGACTCGACTTCACGTTTCACCTACCCCTGCAACGTTTCATCGATTCATCTTGAAGCCGGACAAAATAGACGAGGAAAATGGAAAGGAGGCAGGTTAGGGAGACGGAAGGGGAGAACTCAATTAATACCGCTGCTCGGTTTATGCTATATTTCTTGGTTGCGGTATCAAGCGAGCCAGCAGCCCACCTCATGTCTGTCTGCATTTGTTCCAATTCACTTGCTGCCGATTACCGCTCCCTCCCGTCCAGGATACGCGACTCAGCTTCGACCCCTCATCGGCGTTCCCCATTTTCATCCCTATTCTCCCATTTCCTCTCTGTCCCCGTCCCTTTTCCTCCCCGTCTCTCTTTCAGAGACCAACCCTCACTGCTTGACTCGGCTCGTCTCCCGGTTCGACCAGACTCGATTCGTCAAGGTACAGTGTCACATAACCGCACTTGAATCGTATCGAAACAGGCAACCAGCCATCGGTCGCAAAGCTGGTCCAGTCCATAACCTCTTTTCCCTCCTCACGACCGCTCCGTACTTCGTTCTCCTCGTCGTACTACGTATTACCCGCTGAATCGATATGACGCGCACGTTTTCCGATACAACGTACATGAAACATTCCATGTCGAACGTAGAAATTGCCGTTGTTACGAGGCACGCTTAGCTACCGCACTGCAGACGCTGCGCCGTCTTGGTATCGCTCGGTTAATTAACTCTCCGCCGGCTGCGTCAGTTTCGTGTACCGATAATCGATGAGCAGCGCCGTGGATCTCGGCAGTGTGATCGATTTCGCGTCGCGAGCCGCGAGATGGCGCCAGCGGCGGCCGGAGATCGCCGAGACTTTCACGTCGTAGCGTGGGTCTGTCCGATGGCTGATCTCGGGTTAACGCGTTCTCGTTGTCTCACGCAGTGCCCGGCAGGTGGATTATATTGCGTTAATGGCAACGTGTATTCAGAACCCTCGGTCCTTCCAGTGAAAAATAATCCGACTACACTTTATTAGGTATCACCATTACGTTCCGTGAAAGCATAAGTAGTGGATCGCGTTACGGACGATTGACAGGCCTGTTACCGAAGAAGCCGCGTCCGTAAAACCCTGCATTGTCGCACGTTCCTCGTCTTATATCACGGATCGAAACACCTTTTACGATCTTTCGCCGCTGGTGGAGTGAGAGTAAAGCCTTAATAACAGGCCATGTTAGCCTGTATATGCTCGCCGCGTTACGAGCTGAGATCTCGTGGCATTCACTCGTCAATATAGATGGTGCCTTTTAATCTCTGTCCGCCCAGTCATCGATACGCGGGGTCCAGCCAAGTAATACGTTAAAGTGGGCACAATGTCAATCCGTGTAAAAAAGAATGCAGAAAAATTTGTATATCAAACAATCGATTAACTATTTTCTCAAAACACAGGCCAAAAATGATAAAAATTTTCTGTATATTGTTTCCTTATTTTTTTATAAGGTGTCACGTCGCGTTTATTCTTTATTGTTATTTGGTCAATTTCTATATCCAAGTGCACGATATCGAATGGGCACAGCGTAATTCCTTGTAAAAAGAAAGAAATGTGCAATTAAGGTTTTTTATTTTCAGTCGAGTTTTCGGCAAAATCGATCAACCTATCGGTCAGAAATTTGGTTAAAACTCGAACCAAGAATGAAAAGAATTTATCGAATATTGAAATATTGATTTGTAATTTATTTTTTTCGTGAAGTGTAACGTCGCGCTCAATTTTACGCGCTATTCAGCTGGACCCTGTATCGATGTGTAGGGCACCTAGATGGCGCCACCGCGTGCATCTAGAGTCGCGTTCACTTTGGACGTTACATTGTCGACTCATTACACATCGGCCTACGGTTTGCCACATCGCGCGTTTCCTATAGAAAATATTGACCTCCGCGCGCGATGTCGATAACGCGCCAGATAATGTATAGTTTCCCACGGCATTGTAAGTGTTGATTTTCCGCGTCGCGTTTGCGTAGACGCCGCGGACTATTAATTCGATGCGGTCAGATATAGCTACAATGGTGAATCACGGGTGGAACTTGCTGCGTTAATTACCGCGTCGGCGTCCTCTTGCCTGCGACCGTGTTACGGTGGACCGACGATCCTCGACTCGACTTCACGTTTCACCTACCCCTGCAACGTTTCATCGATTCGTCTTGAAGCCGGACAAAATAGACGAGGAAAATGGAAAGGAGGCAGGTTAGGGAGACGGAAGGGGAGAACTCAATTAATACCGCTGCTCGGTTTATGCTATATTTCTTGGTTGCGGTATCAAGCGAGCCAGCAGCCCACCTCATGTCTGTCTGCATTTGTTCCAATTCACTTGCTGCCGATTACCGCTCCCTCCCGTCCAGGATACGCGACTCAGCTTCGACCCCTCATCGGCGTTCCCCATTTTCATCCCTATTCTCCCATTTCCTCTCTGTCCCCGTCCCTTTTCCTCCCCGTCTCTCTTTCAGAGACCAACCCTCACTGCTTGACTCGGCTCGTCTC